AACACTGGAGTAAGATCTTTTTCTCTGTTCAGAAGATGTATTTTTAGATTTACCTTGTATACTAAAGTTCTMTTAGATATATATGTAATTATTTTTAAAGCTATATTTCAATTCGGTTGTAACATAGATACATRTACATTTACTTACGGTAATGCGCAATAGGAAATTACAGTATTGAGTATCGCGCAATATAAGTTGAATATAAATGAACAAAGCAATTAGAATGGATGTCATCTATTAATGAATATTACGCTCTCTATTCTAAGTAAAAATATTGCGCGCTCTATTCTAAGTAAAAATATTGCGCGCTCTAYTCTAAGTAAAAATGAACCAGACAATTGGGATTTCGTCACCTATCGATGGATTTTGCGCGGCGCTCTATTCTAATTAAGTAAAATTGAGTAAAACAATTGGGATGGATTTCATCATCTATTGAAGTGTATAGTATATAAAATATAAACAATATTACCTTGCAGACACGCAGATACGATGGTCGGAARTTATGCGACCATTCTGACAAACAATGGGCCTCATCGATACAGGCAAAACCAATGGGTGGWAGTCTTGTATTGGATGGAAGACAACCACCACCGGATCCACCACCAACTAAAGCCTCAGGGGACAGTAAMAGTACAGCGATTTGTCCTGATGAAATACTCTCTAAGATCTTGGCACGTTGTGCCTTGGTTTGGTTGGTGTGCAGACAGGCTCCTTTTAACCCAAAGGGAAGGCCACCGATCTGAGATAACAGTAAAATACTTAAGWTAGAAAGTACGCTTGGGTGCATAAAAAGTGCAAAATGCAGGGAAGTAGATGGGAACCTCAAGATGCGTGTTTGCCCCTTCACGTTGATAGTTTAGAGCAGTTTTGGTATGACTGTAAAAACGTCGGTGCTTTCTTCGTTCATTTCTTAAAATGCATGAGCATATCGCGCCTATATTACCCCCACCCCCTCCCCCAAAAAACGTTTTCAAAATCCGTTGGTTACGGCATGAAACTCTTATACGCTCTTTATTAACTATGAGCGACACCTTGCTACGCCCCTGATGTTACCTGATCTTCCATGAGGGACACAAGAGGTGATATGACCAGCGTCAGACAAGGAAAACGTTTGTAGTACATGTAGGCAGGAAGCTGATAACACAGAGATTTGCCTGCACCAGTAGACAACACCACCAGGGACGAAACCCCTGTCAATACATCAAACTTACGTTAGCAAGGCTTCAAATACTTCAGTGAATCAAACTGCCGCATGGCAAACTCGTAGATACCCTCTAAATCCTACTACTGGCACTTTTGAGATATTGGGTTCCCTGTGCTCATACGTCCCGACGACAAGAGCACTGCGTTATGCGTGTTACATTACTCCTTATATCTCGACCTTTTCAATTAATGTGTCGTCTGACTTTCACATGCATATATTCACTTAGAAACCATTATTACACTGTGAAATGAGCGGATATTCTATAAAAATTTGTTTAGAAATGTTATTCAAGTTGTCTTCATTCAAGTCTGTATAAMAAGACTGACAGATTTTGTTTTTCACTGATCTTCACATGAGTTGTATGCGTTGAAAACGATGGACCATAAGGAAGTATCTTTCTCTCACTAGGTTTAACATGTAGCAGCAGGTAGACAGGTTTTAAAAGTGTTTTGGTTTACTCACCACTGAGTATTCGCATGATGGCTTGTTCTTGACCAGCACGAAACGACGAGAAACCAAGCTGGCCCAAAGCAGAGAAGACTTCCTTTGGCGTGTCTGTGAACAATTACATATTGTACAAGTTACTAAAAACTCTTATGGCAGATCCTAAAACGACCCAATAATACAATACCATGTTATTTTTTTGATATAAAAGCTACATCAAGCCTAGGGTTAATCTCTTTAACATGCTGGGTGTCAATTAAAGTGTTTTCATGGCATCGTCTCGGCAAACATAAAACCCGAGCCACCCCACCCTTCTAACAAAATAGCATTGCCTTACCTATGATACTTCCATGCACAGTCTCGTAAAGGGGTTCAATAGCATCAGGTGGAGGGGGTGGTATATAGACAGGGCGTGGTAGATGATGGGGTAGTACCACCAGCCTGGACGAGTCRCTACCATCTTCTGATTCCTGGACAGCAACTCCTGCTGCCATTTGTGCTGCTCTTTCGAGCGTGAGCTGCTGGATGAACTCATCGTCTTCAGGGGTGAATTCTGGATTATCTTCATCTTCTTCAGGTCTTATAATAAATTTGACAATATGCATTATTACGAACCATGAATACGTCACAAACACAGCTCAAGACGTCTGCGTTTATTGCTTATGTCAATCAAAATATAAGTTGGACGTTGGAAATTTAATTGACGGGGCAAAAACCCAGACATCTTGAATTATAGTTAGTAGTATGGCTTGCTTAATTATGAAACAGGGTATGACTAGGTTGCTTAAGCTAGATGAATAAAATATACTCAGGGCAAGATTTAAGAAAAGCTTTGAGTAAATGTGAAAAGTTCATGGTAAAAAAAAGCAGTCGTACAGTAGTATTTGGGACCATGGTGCCGTGTCCAAGAACTATTATTGGATAAGCAGTAATCTCATGCACTGCGATTGGTTCAAAGGTTAACCTCAAGTGATAATGATATATGTTGCGCCATTTTACAGTTGTATAACATCCATTCTAGTGTATAAGCCAATAAATTCCCCCGATGTTAGTGGATAAACAGCGCACGAAGTATAAAGAACAAGGGAAGCTTACGACTGCATTCTACTGATGATAGATGATGTCAAAAATGTTCTAATCTAAACTAATGAGAACAATAAAACTATAACAGTTTTGTTTTTACTTACATTTCTCTTGTGTTTTGGTTCCCTTTGCAGTTCTTTGCCCAATGTCCTTCTTTACCACACTTGTAACATGTTCCACTACCACCTTGCGATCCTCCCCAAGAGCCCCTACCCCCACCACGCCCTCCTCTGCCACCACCGCCGCCACCACCCCTCCTGCGTGTCCAACTTGACTTGCTGACGTATTCCCCACGTGCTTTCATCATTGTGGTCCAGGCTTTGCGTTTATAGGAGGAGCCCGTCATCCCGTTACCACGGCGACGATATGATTTATGTTTCATGTCCAGTCTCACAAAGTTGTCACTGACGAGGCTGGATGATGACGATCTGGGACAGAATGAATAAAATAAATGTGCKTTGTTCTTTCCCTTGCCATAAGGGTTTTCTCCAGGTTCTCCGGTTTCCTCCCTCCGTAAGAATGAACATGTGAATTGAGCGTTGGGTGTTGTAAATATAGAATGTGGTGTTAGTGTGTGTGGAGGGAACTTTATGGAAGAGCCCCGTATGGGGAGCGATGGTTGTAAAATATACAGTATATGTAGTTGTACAGTATGATAAAACTTTTTATCACTAATTAGCACCGCAAGTACAGCAGTGGCGTAGTTGAAAGGGGGTAAAATGAAAGCAATGTGTATTATATTAATGAGCTTGACAAATAAAGCCCGATTTTAACCAATAAATATTGAAAAAATTACCTTGATTTTGCATTTGTGGTTTTTATCTTTACTTCTTCAAAAGTGTCGGAAGGACCTTCATCTGGATGGCTCTCATCTTCACTACACTCATTCCTACAAAAGAAGCCAGAATTAAACAAGAAACTGACCCCTTTACCATCATTTTGGTATATCGTCGTAGTAACAAAAGCTTAAATTTTTCTCAAATATAACTTTTTATGATACCGTCACTATCCCTTTTTTAGCAAGCYCTGTTGAGTTAGCTTATGCAACCTTTTTTTCGCGACACTTTAAATTCTTATTTAAATTCTTTATTTTCGTGATTTCGTGAAATCGAAAAAAAAACACGGGTCACTTTAATTTTGCGATTTTTTCCGTAAATGAATACCTGTCAAACTTAATAAACCAGATAGTAAAAACTTAAACAAGCTCGAGTCATTGGTTGAAGTAACTTATAAAGAACCTGTGAATGGAAAATTTGACGACTGTGCAAGCGAATTCTTGAAAAACTTCGTACAGAGGACATTGATGATGAGGACGTGAGATGATTAAACGGTTAATATTTCACTACTGCGATTCCCAGTCACACGCGACCAAGTGAGAACAAAATCACAAACGAAAAATTGAGTTTTGCTGGACGTCAATCAAAAGGGTTTCTCAAACATGTCTAAGGATTCCGACTTCAAATTTCAAACGTTTAACTGCAAACTATCAGTATTGACTTATCCTATCTTGAAGAAACTCAAATCATAGCCATAGCGATAGCTTTACAATCAAGCGTTAAGATTCGGAGCCGGAATCMTGTGACATTTTTGAGAAAAATATATCCAGAGTGAGAAATTCACAGTGACAAGAAGCATGAGATAAGGACAACGATTTTTGCACATTTGCACGTGTTCACGTGAGTATTCACATCAGTCCTGGTGTAGAAACCAATAGAAACGATAGAAACCCTTTTGATTGACGTCCACCCAAATTCAATTTTTCGTTAGTGATGAAGGTCTAGTTGGTCGCGTGTGACTGGGAATTGCAGTAAAAGTGGTGTGGTCACTTAATATTCTAGCATCCAAATTTTCGAGATACGAAATTAAGTGGCATAAGGTATCTTCATCATCATAATAGCATATCTTTTTATTAGAATATTTCGGCCCATAAGTTTTTTCCTAAACACTTCCAAACCATACTTACATTTCATTTATACTTTGTTCCCAAGATGAGCGCGTTTCTTCTTCTATTTTCCCTGTCCTCAGTCTCTTTACTTCTGGTATTTTGATATCTTCATTCATCTCTCTCTCAGCTTTCCTTTTCTTCTCCTTACGATCCTGTTGGTTTTCGCTCATTTTGCCTTCATTATTCCCATTCATTTTGTTATTTCTCTTTTCTTCCCTTTCATTTACGCAAGCAGAAATTTCTTCCTTAGCTTCTGTTTGGTATTTCTGAGAAGAATTAGGAACTTTGGAAGGATTTCCATGGTTCTCAAGGTTATCTGTACTTATTCCAGGCATTTCTATATCAGCTTCTGAATTCGAATATTTCTCATTCTTATTGTCTATATCTATAGAGGTTGCGTGCCTTATCTCTTTCTGGAAATCATTTTCTTTCTTAATTCCATTTTCACTTTGAATATTTTTTTCTTTTGGAGAAGATTTTCCGTCTGATTTTTCTCTCTCGTTGTTCTGTCCTCCAAGTACGATTTCCATAGCAACATCTTTATCAATGTGGGAAGAATTTTCTGAGTTATTTTCAGACTCATTTTCATGCTCCATTTTCTTAAGGCTTGCAGCAAAAAGGGAGGCTCTTCTCTTCATCCTTGATTCGACTGTACCAGGAGTTTTCCTTATTCTGCTTACACTTGGACTTGGTGTATGATTTGGTCTTGTATAAATAAAATAATGAAATAAAAAACAATGTTAAAGGGCATTAACTATAGATTCCTTTTACAATAGATCTCAATAAAAATAATACCCAACTACAAAATATAAAGCTTGTTAACAATTGTCAGTTTAAATTACCAGTCAATAGCACATTAGTGGCATAGGGTGGGGTACAAGGGGGAATTTGCCTCCCTACTAAATTTCAGTAGCAAAAAAGATCCTTTTAAACATGCAGCCAAATGACTAAGTTGCAATACACCTACAAATATAATTTTTTTAAATTTTTTATGCATCATTGAATATTTTTTTCTCAAAAATAAAGTTTGAGTTTTTGAATACGCTTTAGCCTGTGACCTTCTGAGTATTTGTTAGAAACTTGGAATTGTTTTCAAAGGAAGGAAATATCCACATGAACACTCTGTAATATGTTCCAAGTAGCATTAAACATCAAAACCTGGATATACATGTATTCCTTCAGAACATGCTTTGTTGGAAATTTAAGAGTACAGTCATTTCATGTTTCTTTAAAAAAATATATAAAAACAACACAATTACTGTGCAGACACACAGAGAGTGAAAACAAAGGAGTCAAACTTGATCCAATCAAGACTATTAGCAACGACACCTATCTGATTAAATACATGATTATCAAAAATCGTGGGAATGAGTGATTGTGATTGCCTGAGGTCAATATTATACTGATTTTGCCTTCTCCTGATTTGGCTAAAGTTTTTATAAAATTTATAATAATTAAATAACATCGAGTGTGTCTCATTTTCTCACTGGACTCTGAAGAGGACATCCGCTCAGGTTGTTGAAACATCAGTCTCAACCAAGACTACAAGACTACACTCAACTGGACGATCACATTTCACACCAAACAGTTTTTTATCTCACATTTTGTTCAAGTGGTCCCAGTTAGTGTGCCCACACTGTTAAGCTGTTTGTTAAATTTTGGTTAGGGATAACCTTCCATCCTGCTTGTCTCTGTCTTACCTTATTGACTGATTTGAAGTTAGGATAGGTACACTGTTCAGTCCAAAGGCTTCCATGTCATCAGTCTTATCATTGATATTGGTGTTCTCTGCATCGTTAGACTTTAGTCCATTCTCATGTTGCTCTTCCTCAAAGGAATTATTCTGGTGAGAAATACAATGAGTATTCTTCACTGACTTCAAATGATATAGAATATCATTATTACCTATACATTATATCAGCTTCATTTTAGGAAGAGCAGAAATACAGAAACATTTGTACTCAATGCATGGCATACATGTAATAATGTAAAAAAAAGAATAAAAAATGGCTGTCAAATTCGTAGTTGAATGAATTTATACAATTTGTAAGTAAGATTTTGTTTTTTTTTTGTTTTTTTTTTTTGCTTTCTCCTTTTATTTTACATCAATCATGTTGTAAATTGTATGTTATTTTCTTATAATTGAACCACAATACAACACAATACAGCACAACACAACACAACACAGCACAGCACAGCACAGCACATTAAATCGGAACATAACATAAGACTTGTAAATGGAATGTGCATTTGAAAAGTCTTGAAAGAAAAGAATGGATCAAACTCTACATTATAAATAGCTCTCCTTATGGAGAGGTTGAAATATGCAGAGTATGAAATTTCCTTGCCTGGGGAAAGGCACATTGATTAATTTACAAATCCTCTGGCTACAAGTACACTCTAGTCCAATCAGAAAAGAGCACCTGGCCAGGAAGTCTGGAGAGGGAAAAGCTGTGCCTAAAGACTGTTTTCAAGGCTGAGGACACAATTATATGCTATCCTGACTGACTTTGAATGCTATCTAACTTATTCCCCCCCCATTTACTTATCATTTGTTTTGCAACTTCTTTTGTCATTTAACTAATGCCAATACGCATGTTATTCTTTTGTCATTATCCAATATTCGTGCTTTCAGATGACATTGTCAGGATACAGGCACATTGGCAGAGATTGAAAATGCTGGCCAGTCACACAGCCAATCAGAACACATGATTTTATGAGGATACCGAACCAGAAAAAAGAATCATCTTTATTCCTTACCTTAATGCTGATCTTGGGCCTCTGTCCATGACAGAGGCGAACAGGTTTGATGTTTTCTAAGCCATTTTTCAGCCTCACTGGAGCTAAAGGCAGCATTTTTTTGTCATACTTCTTGTTGAGGTTCTTACCAAAAACTCCATTATCATTTTTCTAATAAAATAAAGAAAATCAAGAATGAAAACAAACATTTAGATATTAGATAACTATTTCCCAATTTTTTTCAGTGGTAGGTCTGTGGTTGGGTATAAACCAGAAATTTGATTGGAATTTGAAATTCAATTTACAAGGAGGGAGGAAATCTGGAGACCTCTGAGCAGAAACCTCGATCAGGCAGGGGTTTAAATAGAAGGCGGCTACCAGCAGTTTATCGCCGGGTAATTACCTTCATACCGCCGGCTATTTTGCGAATCAGTCTTAATAAATAAGAAGTAAAATTTGTGGAAACAGACGTGTACTTTTGAGTTTCATCCATCTACTTCAAATATTATTGAAAGCCCTGATTAGGGCTAAAATATATGTGCTATTTACTGGCCAGTAGGTCCAGATAGGGAAAAACTGTGCCCGAGGTTTTGAATATGCATGTAACAGACTGAGGCCAGTGACCAATGGCACAGTTTTTCCTTAATTGGCCAAATTTAGAATATGGTAAAAAAATAATTAATTTTTTGACTCATTTAACAATTTGTTATCCCAGATGCACATGTAGATGATGGATAATGATGGAGGATAATGGATCTTGGCAGAAATTATATCTTACCTCTACTTCTTTAATCTTTTCTTGACTTTTGTTATTATTTTCTTTAAGTTGTTTATATCTCACATAAGTGTCTACCAAAGAAATTTTTTCATGATAAGTAAGTATAATGGTTTAAGAACCCTTAAAGTAACAAGAGTTTCCAAGGTGTGTTGTCAAAGAACAAAGACATTCATGCAAAGTTGTCAATTTTATTATGCAAAAGTGATAGAAAACTGCCAAACTTGTATCTATACTGTACATTGTACCATTTTGGGCATAAAAATTTTGGGCACTTCTGGCTGTATTTTCTGTTTTAAAGTCAGCTTGTCTCATGCTTTACGGCTCCTGTTGTGTTGTAAGCTATTTTGTTATGAGTGGGAATCATATGGTACTGACTTAAAGCATGCACACAAAAATTGCAAATTGCATAACATTGAAATGGCTTCCCATTGGATTCCAGTAACTCAACTGATCATAACAAGTAGTTATATGGTTATGGTAACATTAGGGCTTTGATAATTTTTTGGAGTAGGTGGTAATAAGTCTGAAGAAACTGGCTGTGATCTGATATAAGGAACAAGGTATTTTAAAGAAAAGAAAAGTAGCCGGCAGTAACTTTGAAGCAATCACCAGAGATCAGGCCGCCTCAGGCTTATTCTGAAAGCCCAAAAACATATGGTATGGCTAAAAATTTCACGTATCATTTCGCACTCATGTTGAAAGTGTACAGTGCAAAAACCTGTGCACTTTTAAGTCATATTTCTTAGACATGACAAAAACAAGAATACCAACAGCAAAAATTAAAATGCTTGAGTGTCATTCTTTTTCAAATTTCCTACAGCCATCATATATACCTCACATGCTGGTCTTTAAAAGAATGACAAGCAAGTATCTACGTCTCTCTTTATTCGTTTATTTATACTTTGATTGTCTGGTATAGTTCCATTCCAGACATCATTGTGTTAACTAGTTTAAGTTCTCCACGTCTTTTGCTTTCCAGAATTATTAAAATAAATACCTTTAAATCTTTAACGGAGACATATAGGTTTCATTACACTTCAAAGTAAGCTATTAATTTGTATTGGAAACTTATATGAGCAAAAAATATTCAAGTTTTACCTCTTATCTCGGCTGAAGCATCTCTGATATCATCCTAGTTACGACAATGAGAAGGAAATAAATCAAAAATCAGTTCAACTATGCTAAAAGAACAAATAAAGATTTTATTTTAAGATTGTTTTAAAGTTTCTCTTGAAGAAATCATAAGCTATCCATCTTCTTGTTTACCTTTGTTGGCTTACGGCCATGTTTCCTCTCGAACATGCTCTCCCAGCATTTCAATTCACGCTTGATGGTTACCAGCTCATCCATACTCCAGTATTCTTCGGGTTTCTCGTCGTTTTGAAGGAAGAAAATGCTTCAATATTGAGATACAGTGCTGTTTTTACACACGATTATGATGCAGCCATTTTGTAGACGTTTCCCGCCATTTTACAAATGACAAAAGAGAGGGATTGGGAAGAATACCACAGGGATCCCATACCATATTTAATGAAGGACTCTGTTATACTGTCGAAACACCCAAAATTTGAAAGAAAATAAGTCTAAAATCAAGGGAAGAAAAGGTGGTAGTTTAATCAGATGAGGGATAGAAAGGTTTACACCTTACAGGCTAATTAGATTTTCTTTTAAATCTAATTAACCAGCCTGAAAAGGAAATAAGTTTGGGTTGAAGTGTTGATCACAGTCAGGTGTTGATGAAATAGTCCTTCAGGTTTGGGGTGGTTCCGAGGGCTCGTATTTTTCAGAATAGCCACAGTTCTACTCTCATATTAAAAGCTCTACCTAACTTTACATAGAATTATCGTAAAATGATTTCATTGCCTTAATTCCTTACTTAGGTTTAGAGAAGGTGGGGTAACTTTCATGTTTTCGACTTCTATAGAAACATTGTTGCTATATACGGCGTCGAGTTGAAGGCTGCGAATCGAGGGATTATTCCATCCACTTTTCAGTCACCCTTCATTAATCCGCGTTAGTCCCCAATGGTTTTTTCATTTTCAGTTTTCGGAGAAATATCATATGTGCATCAATCTTCTTATCGTGCCTCCCTTATTCATCATAAATARATAAATAAATAATGGGGTTCTTCTATAGCGCATTTCACGATGTCTCAATGCGCTTTACATTGCAGTGGAGGACTTTACGGGCTGCATATTAAGGCGCTATTAGCAGCCGTGCAGCTTACAATCATCCCTTACTCTTTTAATCCTTGAGTGCAGAGCCATACTATTCTAGTTAAGTAGATTTTTGTTTATGCGACGGCTTCGTTATTTGTTCAATTTCTTAGAGAAGCCACTAAATCGAATGAAAACAACAAGCTTTGCTGGAAAAGAAGAAGAAGAAGAAGAAGAAGAAGAAGAAGAAGAAGAAGAAGAAGAAGAAGAAGAAGAAG